TCTCTTTTATGATCTTATGAGCTGCACGACGGGGTAAGAGTACTTTGTAGTGTTGTGGTATAAGACCGGCTGTGTGGTGGTGTGGTCGGTAATGTCAGGAGGAGTGTACATGTAGCCTAGACTAGTTTACATGTGTACGCTCCTTGCTTGCTTGCTTACTCACTCGCATTCACTCAAGTCACTAGAGTAAACGAAGCTGAACAACACACACACAAACAACGGGGACAATATACAGGGTTCCTGATCACAGTCATAAACTCTCACAACCTTGGCGTAACTGTACTTACAGTTTTCACTGAACCAGGCAATATTTGTGCCATTTATCGCAATTGTTACCAATCCATTGCGGATTTGTCTTATTTTGAGACGCGTAACTGAATAAATAGTGTATGTTATACATTACCACTGCTCAAGTTAAATACAAAATAAACTTGCTCAAATGATTAACAATTGGTTAAGAAATAATCACTCATTTTGATATGTTGGATAAATAATCCTAAAGACTAACTGTTAAATATAAACCGGGATATAATTTTTTGTTGTCTTGGATATACATTATGGATTATTACCTAAAATGTGCAGATTGAAGAAGTTAACCGTTTAACGTAACCTCACTTAAATTAACATGATCTTCTATTAAATTACCTAAATCCGAGAGGAAGATGGGTAGGCCACGGAACGAAACCCCATGAAACAAGTCAAGTTACCGTAACTTTAAACGAATTAGAACACACCACCAACATGGCCATCTTAAGCGCACACCAGATACACCAACTGCCCGACAGAGGTGTCCCGTGCTGCTGTTGCCACCTAGCGTGTTTCCCGACACCTTATTAATATTTCCGTCACTGACAAAGGCAACTGAAATAGCAAAAGTTACGCGGATACTGGCGTTCATGTTTCAAGGCCCCTCCCGCCGACCGCCATGACTGTATCCGTTTCTCAAGCTTAAGGCGACGTTATGAAGCGCTTTACAATAATCATTATCTGCGGTAGAACAAGGCGAGTATTATTACAAATAATTAAATTATTATTTTATGGCTATGATAAAACTTTGAGCCTCCGTGAACAATGTTTTGATTTAATAAGTCCCCGGCGGACGAGCTACACGAGAGGTTCCGGAGGCGTGAGAACTTTTAGCTGGACAATCTGTGCTTGCCATTGGTCGGTTCCTCAAGGATGGAGACTGGGAAAACTCACGCCACTCTCAACCTGCCTTTGTGAACGTGGCAATTACAGACCAAGTATGGATAAACAATTGTATTAATTCCTGGAGCCTCCCCGAGTACCTTTGTAATTAAATAAAAGTCGATAAGCACTGATATACAGCGCCTGAAAGGTCAAGCGAGGGGGTGGGGGTGAGTTAGGAAAACCATTGTTCGCGGCACCACCAAGGCTTGCTCCACAATGCCCTTATTTCGCTCTTAGCTCTCTCACTACTCGTCTTAAGGTTACAGAAAGCTTCCACAGTACAAAGCAGATTTATACTGACCTCTTATCGAACATATAATAGTATTTAACTCAATTTAATTCACTCGCGAACATTGGCGATCTTACCAGATATTTGCCAGATTTTTCCTTTCAAGATAAAAGGACAGTGTTTTGTTGCAATTTGGGCAACCCTCGCTAATTGGACGTTGACAAAGCCTTTGGCGAACACGGTTGTTATACACAATAATGTTCTTTAAGGCGCCTCTAACAATAGTAACTGGAATTACACATTCTTCCGACCGTATCATTAAGCAACTAATTACCCTGCGTGAGTTATCTTTTTATGCCGTTATCCACCTTAAAACTGAACGTTCACATCTGGCGAATGATCACATTCCTCACGACCGTTTCCATCCCACGTCCCTGATGAACGATCACTTACTAACCTTCTGGAAAGATCACGCCACACCCTCCTCACGAACGACCACGCCACACCCTCCTCACGAACGACCACGCCACATCCTCCTCACGAACGACCACGCCACATCCTCCTCACGAACGACCACGCCACATCCTCCTCACGAACGACCATGCCACATCCTCACGAACGACCATGCCACATCCTCCTCACGAACGACCACGCCACATCCTCCTCACGAACGACCACGCCACACCCTCCTCACGAACGACCACGCCACATCCTCCTCACGAACGACCACGCCACATCCTCCTCACGAACGACCACGCCACATCCTCACAACGACCATGCCACATCCTCCTCACGAACGACCACGCCACATCCTCCTCACGAACGACCACGCCACACCCTCCTCACGAACGACCACGCCACATCCTCCTCACGAACGACCACGCCACATCCTCCTCACGAACGACCATGCCACATCCTCCTCACGAACGACCACGCCACATCCTCCTCACGAACGACCACGCCACATCCTCCTCACGAACGACCATGCCACATCCTCCTCACGAACGACCACGCCACACCCTCCTCACGAACGACCATGCCACATCCTCCTCACGAACGACCATGCCACATCCTCCTCAAGAACGACCACGCCACATCCTCACGAACGACCACGCCACATCCTCCTCACGAACGACCATGCCACATCCTCCTCACGAACGACCACGCCACATCCTCCTCACGAACGACCACGCCACATCCTCCTCACGAACGACCACGCCACATCCTCCTCACGAACGACCACGCCACACCCTCCTCACGAACGACCATGCCACATCCTCCTCACGAACGACCATGCCACAACCTCCTCACGAACGACCATGCCACACCCTCTTCACGAACGACCATGCCACACCCTCCTCGCGAACGACCATGCCACATCCTCCTCACGAACGACCATGCCACACCCTCACGAACGACCATGCCACACCCTCCTCACGAACGACCATGCCACACCCTCCTCACGAACGACCATGTCACATCCTCCTCACGAACGACCATGCCACATCCTCCTCACGAACGACCACGCCACACCCTCCTCACGAACGACCACGCCACATCCTCCTCACGAACGACCATGCCACACCCTCCTCGCGAACATCATGCCCTTCCCCCCTTCCCCACCGTTCACGAACAATCATCCCCCCCCCCCCTCACAATCATGTAACAGTGCGCCGTTCCCACATCCGATGGTTCAGGGCTCTTCCCAAGGCTCCGAAAAATGAATAATTAACTGATAAATCTCACGCACACGGGAAGTAATATTCTTGCAATTTCAATTATTTCTTAAATAATTATACACGAGAGGGTGAAGGAGGGAACTGCAGCAAAAAGAGGGAAGAGGACAGGAATATAAGAAAAAATAGAAAATAGAAGAATGAACAAAAGGGAACAACAAGAGAGAAGTACGAGACAAAAAAAAAACCAGATGATCAAGATGCAGCAAAAATAACAAGATAGAAAAACGAGCAAGTGAAGAGAAATAGACAAATCGTGAGATAAAAAAACAGAACAAGAGGGAAGACAGCAGAACAAAGACCGAGTGTGCGTGGGAAAATGGCATCATAGGCCAATCACAGCGGCACCATCACTGTAGCAACATCAGTACCAACGATGTTGGTACTGATCTTGCAACATCAGTACCAACAATAGCAGCATCAGTACCAACGATGTTGGTACTGATCTTGCAACATCAGTACCAACAATAGCAACATCAGTACCAACGATGCAACATCAGTAACATGGCTAAAAGCCGGGCCAGATTATGCAACAGTACCAGTAACAATAACATTTGCAAGATAACAGTGGAAATTAATATCAGAATTATATGCTTCTAAACTCATCAGCTTATTAGATGAACCGTGTATGGTAACAGCAACTCGCCCAACCACGCCCATCATTGATTTTAACAAATCTTAATTATTTATATATTTACCTGTATTCTTCGGTTTCATGAGTGCTCTTTGCCTTGCAGGGATTTAGCTTCAACTCCTGAACCCCATCATTTTGGATGTTGTAATTTTTACGTATATAATTATTTATTTTACCATATAACGATAATATTTTGCTACAAGCCTATCTGCAGTTAAAGTCGAATGGGATTGACTTCTACAATTCACCTTTATCACGCTCTACTTACTATCAGCACGATGTAGAAATTCTTCTATACGTTCCTGTAGCTAATCTGATGTGTACAATGTGACCCGTGTTATTACCCATTCTAGCCTAAACAACTTGGCTGTCTGCCATAACAATGTTGTCTGGCTCTTCCCAAACGATACAAGGGTAGGCATTTAATAAACCTTTATAACCATTTATCTTTAGAACCAGCTTTGTTGTAAACGGGTCATTTTGTTGCGCTGTATTAGATTTTGCATACCATTCTAGTGTCGAATACAATAACTAGAATTATAATTAACTACATTCCTGAAGGATAGTTTTAATATGTATTGCCAGCTTGGAATTGGTCTCCCACCTTGTTGAATTCTGTATTTTAATGTTGTGACTTGGCCCTTATGCCAGTCAGAGAGCCATTTTCCTCTAAAAACGATACGCCACTCGTTTTACACATATGCTCAGGGGTTTGAATCAGGATAGTTCTTTCTTTCAAGGACGTTAATCCCCACACCACAGTATTATAGAGTTGGCCGCAAGATGTTGCCTAATGACAGTAGCAGAATAACGATGAACCAGATGGCGAAAGGAAGAACCGTTACTACAGTGGTGGTGCCTTCGTCTTGTATCCCAAGAACCATGACTACAACTTTGGCATGCTTCAGGCGTAACGACTTCTTTGAACATGCGTTTTTCCCGGACGACAGGAAACGTCCTGTCGTTTCAACCCAGGAATATACACTGTTTTATAAACGTTGCTCAATAATACATGACCTAACCTGAAGACAGCGCAAAGGGCTGGTAACGAAGAAAAATAATGTGAATGACTATAGATAACGTTCTGACAGATTTCTTAAATGTCTTTACCTACAGTGAAACGTTATCTGCAATTATTAAGTTTATCAACGTAATCTAACCTTCATGTAAGAATTCACACCTTGCACGCTAGACTAACATAGAACCTTACCTTCGTGTGAGGGTGTCACCTGGTGGGGGCTCCAGGGTCTCTCTAGGGGCGTAGAGAGGAGGTGGGGCGAGAGCAGCCATGAGAGAGGTGACTATGATGGAGGCGGCGGCGGGGGAGCGGACGGCAGACAGACCTACAGGCGGGGCAGGTGGCAGGGCACGCCGCACCTCCGTCTCCTCACTCACGCCTATTCCCTGACTTGCACCGTGCCTCCGGCGGTGTGACCCACGCCCAGATAGACGTAGGCGTCGCATGCGTCTCATACTGCGCCGTACGACCCTTGATACCGCTGCCACAAGTCCCGTTCCAGAATCCTCATCAGATTCACAGTCAGCTTCGAAGTCGCGAATGTCAGCGTTATGAGTGGCAGTGTTCGGTGCGGAGATGGTGGCGTCAAGTTTGTCAGGACGCCAGATCCCAGCACCACCTACTGCCCCAATTTCATGCCAAGAGCAGTCCTCACTCTCACTACAGGTGACCGGAGACGTGGGCGGGAGAGGATGATCCGAAGGTGTGGCCATTTCGCCGGAGGGGACAGATAGAGCTGCGACAAAACTGGGTAGGTCTTGGGTGATTGATTGGGGTGATGCCGGGTCATCGCTGTGATCTCCAAGTGCCCGGTGTTGCTCACCTGTGCTCCCCGACACAAAACACGTGTCAGAACATGTGGAGTCACGGTCCCCACCCGTGTTCTCGTGATCTGAATTACCTGCCGCACTCACGTCATCACTTTCAATAGCGGGAGCAACAGGTCCCTCCCCCCTACTCCCGTCCCCAGACAGGCCATCTCTCTCCCTAGGGATATCATTACTTAATGTCCTGTCGCTAGCCCCATCAACGACTTGTCTCTGTTCTGATGACACGATAGGGATAGTCAGCCTCTTGGGAGTGTGTGGCCGGGATAGCTTTTCAGGCAGCATGAAATCTAGAGCATCATATTCCAGTTCAGAGACGGTCGACACAAAGTCTTGTCTTACCGACTGAGGTTGGGTAGAACCTCCCTCGTGCTCCTCCCTCGGGGGCTCGCGCATACAACCCCTCTCACCGCTATCCTCCATCCCACCACAATCATCCCCATCCACCCTTATCCCATCGTGGACTAAAATCTCTTCGGGCTTTAACAGTTTGGATGTGGAATTCGCCTCTTTCTTGATAATGCCCTCAAACAATTCGTCTAGGATATCACACTCAATCGCCTCAATATCGAGCACAGCACCGTCCCCACAAGCACCAAAACTATCGTACCTCGCGCTACCCTCACTGTTAACTTCGCCGAAATCACCTGTCACGAAAGGCTTGTGCATTTCCTCGTGTAAATTAACTCTAGCACCACTTTGTTCACACTTACTAAAGGCAACACTCTTGTATGGTTTTTGCATTTCCTCAAGAAACCTTCCAAAGGCGTCAGGGCCCACTTCACTCACTAAAACCGCATCGCAATCCCCTATTAACACGTTATCTACGGAGCTCTCATCGTCTGGGTTAATCTTAATGGTAACTGCGGATGAACTATCATGGCAAGGAACCACATAACTGCATGACCTGTCTTGTTTGGCGTTGAGGTACACTGCCGTGGCTCTCGTGTTCCGGTCCTGGGCGTCGCCGCTCACGTAAATGGAGTGAGAGTTGTCGAACAAGAGGATAGGAGTAACGGTGTTGGGCTGCGGCTCGGGACTAGTCTCCTTCTGTGCTTCCGGTGTGAAGGAGACGGTGGGGTCTGACGGCGTGGTCATCACAGGACCGTGCTGTGGTGACGACGTGGTCATCACAGGACTGTGCTGTGGCGGCGACGTGGTCATCACAGGACCGTGCTGTGGCGGCGACGTGGTCATCACAGACCCGTGCTGTGGCGGCGACGTGGTCATCACAGGACCGTGCTGTGGCGGCGACGTGGTAATCACAGGACTGTGCTGTGGTTGAGACGTGGTCATCACAGGTCCGTGCTGTGGCGGCGACGTGGTCATCACAGACCCGTGCTGTGGCGGCGACATGGTCATCACAGGACCGTGCTGTGGTTGAGACGTGGTCATCACAGACCCGTGCTGTGGTGATTCTGCCTCAAGGCCACACAGGGGCTTCGACTCCGGATTTAAATGCACATATGATAAGTCCAGATCCGAGTTCACGTGAGAGTTCAGCTGAAAGTTCGATTGTGGATTTACCTGATGGTTTACCTTGGGGCTTGGGTTTTCCAGAGGCAGAGTGGTGGTGACAGACATGCAGGCTGGGGCATCACCTCCCACACTAGTGGTTGTGTCACCCATTAACTCCGGAACTTCCCAACACGATAATTCTGCTTCAGAGTCGTACCCATCTAGACTAGCATTGTCGTTTTTAAACCTCTTCAAAGCATGTTCGTAGGATGTTGCCTCATCTGCATTCAGTTTCTCGAGACTCCCCAAATCATGTCTTAGAGAATGACCACCACCACCTTGGGGGCTTCTGCCAGCGAGATTCTCAGACTGCAAATGAGCGACGGACGTGTTTACCTTCTTCACACCTTGTTCGGCTTCCAAGTCTGTTGAGTCTGGTTTACAATCATTGTCCGAGGTATTATCTTCCTCCTGGCACATATTTTGGTATGTGGGGTCATCTGGAAATGTGGTAAGGAAGGTGTCTTCCATGAAAGAGCCGTGGCCGACGGCAGAGTCGATCACGCTCTCTTCCACATCGCTGAAGGCGTCATCGGTGGGTTCCTCGTAGATAAAAGAGAAGTATTTATCCACAACACCACCCAACGCCTCCCCCTCATCTACCACAGCATCTACGGCACTTGCCATAGTGCTAGTGCTGCTCAAGATTATACGCACATGGATGGTGACACAACCCAACGCTTCACCTGCACACACACGACTGGCGTAGAACCAGCCATTGCTGCGTGGGGCGCCACTCTCGTACTGTGAGCGATACATATATCTCTAAGTTAACTATTGTTAACAGTTCATTGCTTTTACTACAACTTTTTTAGCTTTAGCATTTATATTTGATTCTTGTTTATTTGTCTTACGAAATGAGAACGTCGCGAAATAAATCTAACAATCCCTTAGAGGTATCGTGCGTCCGGCAATCACCTGACCGAGTTCAGCGGTAACTCGCCAGTTGCCATGACCTGCCATTCTTACTCCTTTAATTGCTCCAATTTCTCTAACGTGTTACATATTTTGAAATTAAATTCACAGTGAGAGATAATTGTAAATAAATACTATTACACGTAAAGAGCAAGGCAACATATGAAGGCTAACTAGGCAATTATTACACAAAAAATAGAGTAAGTGAGGCGTGGGGTTGCCCGGGGCGACGAGCAGCACGTGTGACAACAGCCAGCAGTGACCCCTGGTGCAGGCAATGTTCCTTCCTACCTCCAAGTTGCCACCCACCTTTTCCCTACTTGCCTATAATGCCTCTCACATTGTACACTTGTAGAAGCTTGGGGGGACCTCGATATAAGCCTCGCGTAATGAGTCCCCAATAAAATCAATGATTAACATTTTAATTGGATTTGTTTATCATGCACACCCATACAATCAGCGCGGTGAAAGGTTTACAATCATTGGCATTCACTCCGTAACTTGGGGCTGGACGGTAGAACGACGGTCTCCCTTAATGCAGGTCGGCGTTCAATCCCCGACCGTCCAAGTGGCTGGGCACCATTCCTTCCTACCGTCCCATCCCAAATTCTTATCGTGACGTTGTTGTTGTTGTTGTTTAAGATTCGCTACTTGGAACAAAAAGTCCCAAGTAGCACGGGCTATGGTGAGCCCGTAGTGGACTTACCTGGCACGGGAGCGGGGCTGTAACTTTGAAAATCGTGATCCCTTCCAAGTGCTATATAGTAGTAATGGCTTGGGGTTTTCCCCCTGATAATTCCCTCCCTACCTTCCCCAGTGAGCAAAACTTGCGGTTTCGCTAGGATTTCCGGCTGTACATAATTGTGAATGGAATAAACTTCTCTTAAATATTTGTGATAGAATACTCAAAATTTTACGTTTTTATGATATTAACATAAATAGTTTCCTAGGGTATGCGAATACCTCTGCTGGCCGTTTGCATTTGGTCAGATCTACTTTCGCAGCTGGTGTAGACTGTCAAAGGTACTTGTAGGTGCGTCTACAAGCCTAACAGCGATGACGTCTAGAGATCTAATGACGTATGCTGGATGACCCATAGATATGCGGCTCTTCCTGTTATAATAATAGTATGATACATGTTGACCAAACTACACACTAGAAGATGAAAAGACGACGACGGGTTTCGGTCCGTCCTGGACCATTATCAAGTCGACTGTGTAGAGACGAGGAAGGCGAAAGACGAGACGAAACCGTTCTTCTTCCCGCTATTTATACTCGTCCCTCTCTCTGGCTTCGCTATGTTGATGACATTTTTGCTTTATGGCCTCATGACCTTAATCTTTTCCAGCCTTTTCTCTCCCCTTTTTAACAATCTGGCTCCTTCCATCCATTTCAAAGTTGAATGGGAATCTAATTCCCTCCTTCCTTTTCTTGACATTCATGTTCTCAGCTCTGTGTCCGGGATCTTTTTCTCCGTCTACCGCAAACCTATGCATAGTGGCATGTATATTCACTTCTTTTCGTACCATCCTTCTTCTGTTAAGAAAAGTGTCCTCGTCTCTCTCTTCCTCCGCGCTCTACGCATCAGCGACCTTCAGTTTCTTGATTTTGAAATTTCCTTTATTTACAAATCTTTCTCTCGCCTTGGTTACCCTTGCATTTAATCAACTGCGTCTACTCTCAAGCTAAACTAAATTTCTTTCATCCTAAAAGTGCTTCCAAAACTACTAGTAATTTTCTCTGCTTTTCCTTCATATCTGAACTCAAAACTCTTACTAATACCTTTCGTCCTCTTGACATAAAGCTCGCGCCTTTCATCACACTAACATTCTTCGTACTAATCTTGTTCACACTTCTGCTTCTAATGCTGTTGGTGTCTACTGTTTCTTGATCGTCTTGTCCTCTCCAATACTTTGGGGAAACTGGCCGTACACTAAATGACAGACTCAAGGAACACAAAAGAAGTGGTCTGCAGACACAAACAATATTCTCTTCTGTCATGTTAGGGGTTCTAATCATCCTATTGATTGGTCTTCTTCTAAAATAATCTTTCCTGCCTCTACTCTGTACAGACGCAGTCTTGTCGAATCGGCTCTGATACACAAGCACCCAACATGAACCCGAGTCCTGGCTTAGTTGCTGTTGACTCTTCCCCTTCACAGTACATGCTCAAATATTCAAGACTTTCTAACAAACGGGACCTAACAAAAGGTAGATGTCAACGGCCTTTTTTTCCTTTCTTTCTTTATTTATCTTTTTCTTTTACTTTCTCTTTCGTTCCCATGTACTCCTTTTATTACCCTCTTCTTGCCCTTTATTACCCCTATCTTTCGCCTTGCTTTTACCTTCCTCCAAGATTTCCTCCTCCTCACCTCTTTCTTGCCATACTTATGCCCGTGCCTTTCTCGTCTCTTATGAGTTACGGGCTATTCATGCCCATGCCACCTCGGGTGGCTTAATCTTCATCACTCAATCAATCCATCGCCCAGGCCTTGGTGGTTGGATTTGGCCAAAACAATGGAAACTCTTGGGCTGCAAGAGCAGGAAATGTCCTAAAGAGACTACATTTAAAAAACATGATTCTTGATAGAGAGGGTGATCAACCACACCCAAATTACACTCCTTCCGCACCGTCGGAAGAACCTACCGTCAAAATAGTAATAGAAAGTCTCCCAATGAAAAAGGCTGCCTATGATCCAACAATCCTAAAGCGCATAATAGAAAAGCAAATGTATAGCATAGCAGGAGCCACCCACATCTTCACAGACGGATCGGTTGACACAGAATATGAGAGTGCTGGCGCTGCTCTTTGCACGACCAGCGTACAGGCATATTGGAGACTGGGAGGACTAGTATCATCAACCCAAACTGAGCTGTTTGCATTCGCATACGTGTTTGCACAAAACACTCAAAATGCAATCACACAGACTCAAAAGTTGCACTTCAAATATTAGAACAAAAACAGTGGAAAGATAACGTGGAAATAATTACCACCATTTTGTATCTTGGAGCAGTCGCTAAAGGCAAAGGACTCAACATAACTCTAAACTAGATCCCATCCCATGTTGGAATCCCATTAAATCAGAAAGCCGATGAAATTGCTAAATTGGCAACTCGTCATCCAGTGATCCATAAAACAATTCAACCCAGCCTAGAGAACAACCCAGCCTAGAGAACAACCCAGCCTAGAGAACATAAAAAACATCATCACCAAAAAACTCTCACATCTCAACAAAGCCGACCTGCACCAGAGAGTAGCTGAAGGTTCGCCATCTGCAACATGGTATCTTCAGGCAACCAAATTAGAAAGGTTAAATATCCTAAAAGGAATCCACAGGGAAATAGCAGTTAGGTTATATAGACTACGTCTAGGTTACAGATGCAACTGGGAGATTGGTGAACCCCGACAGAGAGAGTGCATCTTCTGCCAAACTATCACAGAAAAGCCATTACTTCACTATCTTCTGGAATGTGAAGCAACCAACGACCTTAGAAGAGCTTTAAGAGTCCCCGAATCTTGCAGTGGCCACCCTGAAGCCATCAACACAGCCACTCTTCTGGTCAAAAAAGGTGTCCAGCAGCTGGACACTCTCATAAAGACTGTCAAGCAGTATCCTCCCCCGCGATAGCAGCTTGACGATTAAATGCGACCTCAGAATACTGAAAAGAATTACTTAACAAAAAATTTTACCACTTACGGGCTATTCATGCCCGTGCCACCTCTTGGGTGGCCTAATCTTAATCAATCAATCGTCTTTTCACAATCGACTTCATAATGGTCCAGGACGAACCGAAACGTTGTCGTCTTTTCATCTTCTAGTGTGTAGTTTGGTCAACATTCTTCAGCCACGTTATTGTGACTCATCGTCTGGGTATGATACATAAAACAACTACTGTAGTGTGTATTCTATTTTGGGTCAAGTTGTGCTTATTCCTGTGATGGCATTCGTATTGGCTGTACATATACAGCATATGTACATCTGCCGTTAATATCACACACACACATCCAAGAGCTAATAGCTCGACTCTGCAAGCACAAATAGTAAATACACACACACACACACACACACACACACACACACACACACACACACACACACACACACACAGACACACACACACACACACACACACACAGACACACACACACACACACACACACACACATACCATCTTACTGGTGAAACCATATTGACTACTTCATACCCAAGACTCTTCTACAAATTAGAGGTATTATCAGGCAACATCACCGTGACAAGGTAACTGAGGAAAGGAGGATAGAAGCACAAACCAGTGAATCTGTACGATGGTACAACATGGTTGCAGCTGGCAATCCTAATCATTATGGACGAAAAGGAGGAGGACGAGGGAGAGAATCAGTAATAGCAAGAATCCGTCTTGGATACAAATATCCACGGCGATTCGGGATGGAAACAACAGCTGAGCAGCGGAGTTGCAGAATTTGTGGTGAGAGTGACGGACACCGCCTTGACCACTACCTGAGAGTGTGAGGACATCTAAGAGACATTATAAATGTGTGTGTAGCATAACAAACCTCACATTGTTTGAGTTAGGAAAGTACTATCTGTAAAGTATAAATGCTGTTCTCAATAGATTTTCCCATTTTGCACACCCGCAGGATAACTTAAGATTTTAAGGGTTGACAAATGTTAATCTTCTTGTTTGAGGAGCTGTTCACTTGAGACATTAAGCAAGTCCCAGCTGTATCTGGGTACAAGCCCGGGTTCGATCCCCGGCGGAGGCGGAAACAAATGGGCAGAGTTT